CACGTTATGAAAATCCACCGGCAGGCAGTTCATTTATCAATCAGGAGTAAAGAGATTACTGTGAGGGAATAACTTTAAGAAATAGGCATTATGTCGTGAGATCAGATAGGTTATGAAGAAATGTAGGTCACATCAGAATAGCTACAGAGTTCACTTTTGCAAATCGTATCGCACTCCGCTTCCTGTTTACTCTTGGTCGGTTTTCTTTTTTAGAAGTTAGATTTCAGCTTAACTAATGCATTTAGTTTTCGGCACTGTATGCTTTTGTCATTGCAGTTAGTCTCCACTGAGTTTTCATCAATGTCCTACACGAACACTGTCGTTCCGCAATTTTTAATAACTCCAACTGACTTAGCTTCGCCTTGTTAGCGCGCAACCCTTCCGAAATTCTCGGCATTAGGCTTTGTTCTTTCTCGACGTTATTTGAAATTTCACTGAGGATACGATCTAAGCTAAAGTAACAACTGCATCATAGGAGCCTATTACCTTAAATTCTTTGAGCTGAATGTTTTACTTAACTCTGTAAGCACCATGCTATAAGAAATACAAGAAACACTAGCCTTCATGTGGAATTATGATTCATGATTATATAAAAGGACAGGTTAGGTTTAACAACGCCAACGATTCACATTTTGAGAGACGCTAGATTTCCTATTGAAGGCAAAAAAGCACTAGTTACAAGAGAGACAGCATCTTGAGATAACTATTGCTGTCACTGACTTGTATCATTGCCATTATTATTAGTTTCTCGAACACTTGGATTCCACGACGGTCAAACAGAGTGAAAGCATTCGATAACGCAAAACATAAGCAACAGGTTTCATAAGCAGAAATGGCAAACTGAAAATGAAAATAGAGAAAATCAGATCACAGTGTCAGTTTTGAGTATATCGACACGTACAAGTGAAGTATTTCTAATGAACTTGTCACATTCCCTGTCATGAAAGTATACAGAGAGAAGCCTGGAGAAAAATTTGGGTGCTATCAGAAGCCTTGTGGGTTCTTAGCACACTCAAGCTCTCGGGTAAACAGGCACCTTCAGAGAGCTAAAGGCAGGAAAATGGGAGAAACTTCATCATCTACCCAGGAAGTCTGGCCAGAAGGAAAGAGCTTGCAGCCAGTATCAAACGCTAAGGTTAAAAAATTATCAGCTTCCCATACTGGCACAAACGACACTGATTGGGTAAAGTTGTCCTTCTTCCTGTTTACACTTTTATCACGTGTAAGCGTGCCACTATTTACAAATTCACTCATTTCTTCCACACAGCCAGAGATATCTTATTTGTTAAACAGTGTTTGCGAATAGATATTCCATGGCGATAGTAACTTGGCTAACTGAGAATCAACTTCACTTTGGTTTCCTACGCAGGGTGAAAACTGTTCATATCGCGTGACATGTCACGCCAAATATGAAAACGGCAGTTACTGTTTCAGACACGGAAGCTGTGCGGAATAAACTACTGTCTGACGCAGCTGAAGACCTCTCCCACTGGTCAAAATTATCCGATGCTTACGGCATAAAGTTTCGGAGGGTAGTAAAGAGGAGGCCGACTACGCAGCACACAAAAGCGACATGCAGCTAACAGAACTCCGGTCAGCTGAAAATAGCTCGGGCTTCAACCAGGAAAATTGCTGAGTAATGCACATCAATGCTCACAAAACCAGGACGGCAAATCGCAAGGCAAGTTGGGTTGCTGTGCTGTCACCAGGGTATTCACGGGAAAAGGTTTGAAGCTCAACTTCTCTAACGCTCTGAGCACCAAGTCAAACTGCAGAGGAATGACAGCTACGGCGAGCGCTAGTGAAAGCTTTCTGTGTGGGCAGCTTGGTGCTACCACCACTGTGCTGCTTCTCGTGGCTTTCAAACCCCATGTACGGCCACAGCTGGAAGTCTTCAGTTAGGTAGCAACCCATAACTCGAAAGGATGCCAACCTCCTGGAGAAAATACAAAGATCTGCAGCAGGATTGGTTGTGGGACTGAAGGAAAGTGTGCTTTGAAGGAAGTAAAGACCTATATGTATTCATACCCTGCAATCGGAGAAGGAGGAGTGACCAGATGATGGCCTACAAAGTCATCCATCAGGAAAGTCACACAAACAAACTAACTTGCAATGAAATACGGCGGTTATCATGTGGGAATCTTATCGAGATAGCGCACTAGATGGCTACCATCAAGCCCAGGTCAAACTTCTTAAGAGTAAACGCATTACGGAATGCCTTACCACGGGATGTAGTCACTGCACCCTCAGTAGACTCATTCAAAAGACGATTACAAAGCTGTCTTACTTCATATGGTCTACCACGGACGAACTTGAAGCGCTACTGACCTCACTAACCCGCTTCCACTTCCTACCTGCTTGCCGCTCCATCTCACTTGTCGACACACCTACGTTATCCACCAACTCTTCTCTGGCAACAAGACCCGAACTACCTTTCATCTCTCGGGTGATTTCTGTATGCCCTTTACCACTATCTTGCCGTTTCTGTTCCAGCATATGTATGACCAGGAGTCACGAAGGACCGCTGGTCATCTCAAAAAACCGTGGCTTCCTAGCCATCTCGATCTACAAATCGCAGTTACCGGTCCACAAAAGCATTCATGTCACTAAAGCGAAAAGGAGGAAGGCAGAAAAGATTTCTTTACTCAACTAAGGATGGAAATGAGCAAGTAAAACCAAGCCCCAGGGACTGGACAAAAAATTAAAAACCACTGGTTTCCTATGTTGAATGCCACCGAGCCAGCTGCAGTAAGTTAGCCACTGCGGGCTAAATCGCCGAAAAATAAGGTTATCAGTGAGTGAAATTACCGCTGAACGATTGACTCTCTTCGGTCTGAGCAGACAGTGACGACTACCGGATTGAGTGGTGTAGAAGTACGTGTAACAGCCAGTAGTGCATTCTGTCGGCCATCACTTGAGCAACTCCTGTCGATTCATCCGTTTCTATGGTTTTAAAAAAGGAAGTAGATTGTATCACGTATTGTGGAAATAACCACATGACAAGATCATTCACCAAGTGGGTTACCCAGATAGGTCAACGTTATCGGTCCAAAACCGGCAGTCCCATGGGAACTTCACTCGTATACTCCACCGTAGGGCTGAGACCTGCGAGATTTGACTTCTCCCGCAGAGTATGGAGTTTATGGAACGCCCTGCTGGAGGGAGTAGCCACAGCTACATCAACTGACTCCTTCAAACAATTACCGGATGGGTATGTGAGCGCGAATGGCTTGCCATGAACATTTATCAGCAGCAACCGATGATATGCCCTTCCATAATTGGATCCCCCAACCTCATTATCCACAATAAGACGTATCTCTTCCCCATATCATTACCCTCAGTGCTCATCTTTCCATGAATACTGTACTCCTCCTTTTCTCATTCTCTACCCTCCCTGTTTCTTGCACTCTTTAAGTAACGCCTAATACTTAATTTCAGGTTCTTACAAAACAGGAATCGCAAACTGTCAACTGGTCTTATCACCAGCTCTGTCGCCACCCCGCTCCCAAAAAAGTAAACCGAGCCACAATTTGCAGATAAAACACCCCCAAGTGAACAAGGAGTAACCAAATGGTTTACACAAGCTCCTTGAACAGATATTGGATATTGAAACGGACAATCACTACGTTTGAAGGTATCCTGGCCAACAATGGACTGGATGGCTTGAAGAAACTTGGGCGTCGAGTTAGTATGATTCATTGCATAGAATGTATTTTTACTTGTGTAATCCCAGAGTAGTATATTAGAACAAATAACAAAATAAAAAAAATATTTTGTATTATTCTTCGACGTTTCAATCTTGCTAGGAAGATCCTTTTCAAGAGTATGAATCTGACACTAAGTTTCCAGGTTAATATTCAAGTTTTGGTACACAAAGTGGTGACCTTTACAACCATCCAATTGTATGGTGATATGCAGCCAAGATCAATGTGATACAAGTGAGTGAATAAGCAAGTCGGTCAGAGGGGTTTTTCCGTTGTGCGAGTAAGGTGTAACAAAAAAATAGGGTGGGAAAATTTTTTAGTTCGTCTATGAAAAGTACGATGGGGTTGTGAGGCATCGAGGGTGACAAGGAATAGATTACTAGTTTAGAAGGATGAATATTTGAAGATGAGACAATATATCTTAAATAAATAATAATAATGATCACCATAAATGTACTTTTGATAACACTTGAAGTATGAGTGATAACAAAATGGATTTTGTTATGGTCCATCGAATGTATATGACTCAGAAGGTAGTGTAAAATTGATGAAAGTAGTAGATCAATAAGGTGTATGTAACAGGACTAGACAGTCTACCTCCTCTTCAGATATTATTTACAACTGACCAGGTGAGTCATTAATGTTTGCCATATTAGTGGGATGTCTAACCCATCTTTTCTGTTGACCGAAGAAGGATATGAGCAGATGTGCAAAGCTTCTGCAATGGTCCGCTCTTTGTGAGAGAGAAAACTCTTCTGCAGAACTTTTGTCTGTTCGAATGACATTATATGACCTGAATATAGGGTGTGAGCACTTTTCTGTTCCATCTTACTCGCACAACGGAAAAACCCCTCTGACCGACTTGCTTATTCACTCACTTGTATCACATTGATCTTGGCTGCATATCACCATACAATTGGATGGTTGTAAAGGTCACCACTTTGTGTACCAAAACTTGAATATTAACCTGGAAACTTAGTGTCAGATTCATACTCTTGAAAAGGATCTTCCTAGCAAGATTGAAACGTCGAAGAATAATACAAAATATTTTTTTATTTTGTTATTTGTTCTAATATACTACTCTGGGATTACACAAGTAAAAATAAATCCTATACAATGAAGACAATCACTACCTCCAAAGCTATAAGCAGGAAAACGAAAAGACTTCTGTGACCATCAAGGGAGTACAACCGGACGAAAAAAACGAGCCTGAAGACCCAGAAGCGAGAGCTAAAAACCACAAGTTCGTGTCTGTGCTTTGTTTCTATCATTAAGTGTATTTCAGAAGATGGAGCTACATTCATTTTGAAGGCCATGGGAACGAAGTCAAAACCATTTGCAACTGGGAAGCCTTTGATGGGTTATGAAGAGATAGTAGTTCAGGAAGATGATTCTAAATGTTGTTCATGTACCCCAAGTTGGGTCAAGACGTTTCTGATTTTTTTTACTGCAATCATATTGGTATCACTGTCTAAATTTAGTAATTATTTTGGATAGCTTATTGCACTAGCCTTAATCGCGTTGGGTGTTTTCCTTCTGGTTATTCGCCTGCCGTTCGTGCCTGTATTATTAGGTGAGGTGGCGTACTTGAGTCATTTCCTTATGTTCGTTGTCGGGGGTCTTCTGGTCATTGTATGCATTATTGGGTTCGTTGGTGTTTCGAATGGAAAATCCACTCTTCTCCTTACTGTAAGGAATAGTATTATTTTATTTCTTGCAGTTCGCATGGATGTTGTTTTTCATCTTGTTAGTCCAGTTCACAACTGGTGTCTTGGCTTTATGCTTTTCAAATGTCCTCACTGAATGGCTTGCTGATCGATTAATGTTCACGATGCAGACTCAGTATTTACATGAAACTGATGGTGTTGATGCAGCTGTAGATCAGATACAACAAAATTCAAGTGTTGCGGATCAAGGACTTATCGAGACTGGACTGATAGTGTTTTTCAAAACCATTCAAAAGAAAAAGAAAGCTTCCCATATGCAGGGTATTCACTGGTTGTTCCTGATTCCTGCTGCGTTAGAACGATTAAAAGTTGCGGAAAGTTACCACATCCGTCAAATGTGTACTACGAAGTAAGCACATTAAATATATCAAGTGTTTTCATCTGAATAGGTGTGATGTTATCCTTTTTGTCTCTTTAAAGAGACTAATTACGTAATTAGTTTTCAGATTTCACTTATAAGAATAGTAGGCCTGTGTTAATCCATGCAGAAGATATCTCTGGGAAGATCTGGTTTCTCCTTGAATGCGTTGACAAAAGGTGCTGATACTCCTTGCTGAGGTAAGGAGTTCCAGGCATTGACAATACGATGGGAGAAACGCAGATTCACGCTAAGTTGATTCGATCACTGTCTTAGAATTTTCTTGTGATGCCCTCGGAGATAGTCAGGACTAGCAAGGGGGAAAAGATAGGACATATCAGTACCGAAGTCATTATTAAGAATACGCAATGCCAGTGTGAGATCACCCCATCTTCTACGGTAAGACAGTGGGAATAAGTTTAGCTGATCTAGTCGTTCCTCATAGGACAGATCCGAAAAGCTTGTTACAAGCTTAGTGCCTATCCTTCCAACACGCTCGAGTGCGTCAGAATCCTTTTTTAGGCATGGGCTGGCCATCTGAATGCAGTATTCCAAGTGAGGTCTAAGGTAAGTAGAGTAGAGTATTCTAAACATGTCGTGATCAAAACATTTGAAAGCTCTATGGAAGGACCATAATATACGGAAGCCCTTTGCTGCAGCTGCATTACAGCTTGCCGAGGTTTTCAAATCAAGTCTTTTAGTTCAAGGACTGGGAGCAGTGATGTACAATCAACGGAATACTGGAAACAATTGCTATGACCAATGTGCATTACTGCACTTTTGTTAGAATTGATTTCCAAGCACCAATGTTTGGACCAACCTACTAGTTCATCTAAATCCACCTGAAATGCATACCTATCTGCATCACTGCGTTGGCTCTCCAAATCTTTACATCATCGGCGAATAACAGTACCGAAGAGTTGAGCGTATTTGGCAATTCGTTGACGTATAACAAGAAAAGTGGTGGACCTGGGATTGTTCCTTGAGGAACCTCACTCATCACAGGTTTCCACCCGGATAGTGTCCCATTTACCCTTACTCTTTGCCTTGTATCGTATAAAAAGTCCTTAGTCCAAGCTTTCAATGAAGCACCAAACCCGAAGGAGGAGAGCTTTCCCAGTAATTTCACATGCGGTACATAGTCGGACGCCTTACTGAAGTCTATAAACACGGTATCTATTGGCAGCTTGCAATCACGGGCTGCAACCCATTCCTCTTTTGCGATAAGGAGGTTAGTTAGACAGGAGTGCCCAGTACGAAAACCGTGTTGCTGTGGTGCCAAAAGATTGGTTGATTCCACATGTTTAAGCACCCTGTCACGAATTATCTTTTCTAAAGTCTTAACAACAATGCTAGTTAGACTCACAGGGCGATAGTTAGACACCAATTAGCGACTACCGGTCTTAAAAACGGCTGATTATGGCATCTTTCCAGTTTCTAGGGTGGCGAGTCTGAGTTAAGGACATATTGAAAAGATCCATCATTGGCTCAGCAATGATATATGCAGTGATATTTAATCTGGGTATGGATGAATATCGGTTCTCTAATTATTTAATGTATCCACCTGTCACATGCTTTATGATCTGGTTAGTGTTGTCATATAGATCACTTGATTCCTTTACCATCATCCTATTACGCAGATGGAAGAGCTTCAAAAGGCAGTCGCCAACATTGAAATTTTTATTGTTGAAATGTCTAAGTTAAAACCAGAATCATGGAAAAAACTGAGTACATATATAGAGGTACAGTTCGGCAGATAGACCGGCTGATACAATACAGCCTTGATGTGGCAATAAAGTCTGTTTTGACTTCAGGTATCTTAAGAAGAAATAGCCTAGTATGGGCAACCAAGAACTGTCAACCACCAGCACGCTTCTAGTAGTACACATTACCCAATCAAATATAACCCATCATCCTCAACTTTGTCTTCTTCTTTCTCATCACTTCCTGATACTAATATTAAACCTCTTACACTTTCCCAACATCTCACAGTGAAACCATTGCAAACGATCAAAGCCATCGAAACCTCATTTCCAGTCTCTTTAGACCCCACCATAGACTTTATATCGGAGCTTTCTACCTCCGAACTCTGTCGAATCGAACATCAAGCATCGCTTGCCAAAACTCTGGAATGTCTAGCCATGGATGTACGCTGTATCTCCAAGACATGTATACAGAACCCGAGTGTGATTATTAAATTGACTTCATCTGGCTATAGTACTGAATCTTCAAATTCACCTCCAGATCATCCGAACTTTTATGGACTCGCTGGTGTAGGCGTGGCACCGAACTGTAGGGCAGAAATTGTGCTTCTCGACCGGATACCAGTCAACAGCGGTTTATATGCCATTCGACTGAATGCATCTGTGAGAACTAGGAAGGATCGTGAAACTAAGCGATGTCGATTCGTAATCTCCGCCTACGCACCCAGTGACTGCAGTCTAGATGATGCGAAGGATGACTTATGTTAAAGGCCGTCAACTTTGCTACAGAAAGCAAAACGTTCAGATGTAGTCATAATGGCAGGTGATTTCAACGCTCAATTTGGGAGGATGAATCAATCGGAAAGACATCTAGGTAAGTGTGACTTCACAGGAATTGACCCACTTCCTGTAGGTCATCTGTTTGACTTGAAGCATGCAGACGATTTTGTCCTGTTGGGTGAAGACGCTTACAAAATGCAGGGTCCTCTGAACGCGTTGAGCGAAAATATGAGTATATCTGGTGTGCGCTTTGCACTTGTGAAATGTAAGACGATGCTTCAGGACTGGTATGCGACCACTCCCAATTTAATGATAGGGAGTGAAGTGGTGAAATGTGTCGACCTGTCCACTTACTTGGAGAGTTGCATCAGCCCGAACGGGTTGGCCATTGACGGATGCAGAAGGCTCATCTGACACTTGCCAATTTGCATCATCTGTGGCGTCGGCTGGCGAGACATCCGACTGTCTGTCTATCAAAAGACGAGTATACCGCGCTGCAGTCTGTTGTGTCCTGTGTTATGACTGAGAAATGGGAGTTCAAATTAGAAGACATAAAGCGGTAACAGTGTTTTAGTCATATATGTCTTCGATTCATTGCACGTGTTTGTTGAGGTCAGGTTATACAGGTAAGTCGATTGATGAAGTTGTGAACCATGGTCAACTGACGTAGCCCCGACATAAATTGAGGGAACCGAGCCACTGCCCACTTCGACGTGTCATTCAGGTGGGGGAAGTTGCATCAGGTTGGAAGAAGACTTATGGTGGCCAGATCCAGACGTGGCACCAGTTTATGAAGTTCCTGCTTGTTGGTCTGAGGCATGTGAGATGTTGACTGCCTGCCCGGGGTCCTCGAGATGATAGGAACCAGTGGTTGAGGTCTCCTAGTGAAATAGCTAAAAATCGGTTACAATGGCATAGATGTATTCACTCTGTGACGTCCAAATCTTGAACATTCGCACTAAATTTTATTACCGTATGTTTCATTCACTTACACAACTTTATCTACTTTGATACCACTCCTTTTCTCTTCAGTTGGTGTTTTCGTACTATTTTGAGATATGGCAACTTGAATTGATGCACCTGTTTGCCAGGTTCTACGTTGTTTTGTCTGTCCGTCACATCAGACTATCAAGATATTAGACAGGAAGATGAGGGACGAAGGAATGGAAGTTATTCAGCCAAAAGTCATGTAGGAAGGAAAAAAGAGGTTCATGCAAATAAAAAGGTAAAGATGAAGCGTAGCAGGGAAAATTCACAAGATAGGATGTACAAAATAGCTGTTCATCTGCCCCAATAGTGAGGAAATAAAACGTGCATAAGCTTGCTATTTCTCCGTCTCACTAACAACTTTTCCATGCTTTACAACTTACCGTGAAACTTCAAATGATATTCGAGGTTCATATTAGCTTGTAGGTGGTCCGTGATTCTAGTTATTTTCTTCAAATGTATTCCTTACAAAAATTTTGTTGAAAAGCAGTCAACGTAAAAATATAAAAAACCCCATAACCTGAGTTTTGATGGTAATGTCATACTGATGACCGTACATATGAATAGCAGTAGTAAAGCTACTGCCATCCTATCATATTAACTCCACGTCGCTACCAAAGGGAATTCAGTGTTGGGTATAGAAGTAACATTTTCACTTCGCGAATACCCAGCTCTAACAGTGATACTTCTGAGTGAGCTTAACCTTTTGAAACGTAAAAGTACTTCCTGAAAGGCTGATGCTGACCTCTGTAGAACTTTTCTTGTTTTTTGCAGTTGACAAGATCATCTGCATCAATAAGATTTGTTTTCTTCACAGTCCCACATGTCTTTGTAAAGCATAAGGTATATACCGATAACTGTTTCTGTTAGTAAAAAGTAGCCCTTTTCAGGCACCAAACTTACAGATTTGGTTTTCGTAGGAAAGTCACCAGTGGATAAATGGGACGAAAAGTTAGTAGAGTTCCTAGGGTTTGTTGTAATTGACTCGATAAATGTGTGTTGCGTTGGTCTAGACACTCGACTCCCAACCAGTGGATTCTAACCCCGCTCTACCCACCAAAGGCTGAACGGTCAAATAAGGATGCAGCTACTAAGTGTATCTCGACTTTTCACTTCGCTGATATACACCTGTGAGGTATCAGCTATAGTTATCTAAAAGAGATTCGATCAAAGTGCATACAGTAACCACGCACACATTCTTGCGATGGGCGAGATACCTTTGACTGCTCATACGTCGGTAGGGGGGGATATTGGAACTCATGTCTCCCTGGTAGGGAGCTGGACAACAATAGTCAGCTGCTTCTTTTATTCGTTTAGCGCATTGAATCTAATGCTCTGCTTAGTCTTCAGACCATGAAGTTTCTACTACCTGAAATTTTGGATGTATCAGCGGCACTTAACAGGTCTTTCAAACCATTCCTACAATTTTGTCAACGTTACTGCTTGGAGTTTAGATATATAATCCTATTACTATTCGATACTAAATACCACTTCATTTTAGGGCTGCATGGAATCAATACTCCTTAATCTACGAGAACAATACTTTATAATATGTGTGGTAGCGCTTGCGCTTGTTTTCGTTGAGGTAAGTTACAGTTAGTAATGTCACCACTGTTTTAGTTCTTCGGTGTGATACTGGCTTGCTGCTATTCGAAAGCACCAAAAACGAATCACTGAATACTTGGAGTGTAGAAAGTCAAATAAACAAAATTTTTTTTGCAATTATCTTTGCGTTTATTTTTAATGTACAGCTTTTTAAATACAGAATATTTGCACAAAAGTGGGTTTTTTTTATGAATACAAGGTATTAAGAAAAAAGGGACCTCACATATCTCCATTATATTCGGCTCTGATCTCCGCCCCATATTCGCCATATTGCTGAATCATGTCATCACGACGACGGTCACGGCGTTTGTGATCCCGATCTCGTTCATCTGGACTGCGGCGCTTACGATGTCGATCGCGGCTCCCTAGTTGCAAAAATAATAGTCTAATTAATCTCGGCATGTGCGCAAGATGGAAGCGATATAGATTGACATTTCAAGTGTTATTGTGAAGAGTGCAAATAGGAAATCTGAACTTACGACTACGAGCACGTCGGTCACGGTCCTTCGATTTACTGCGTGACCGACTTCTTCTACGTTTAAATTCCTTGTCCCGATCCCGAATGTGAGCACTTGAAATAGGGCGTCCATAACTCCGATCACGACTGCAATCCCTTCCATTTTCGTGTTTGCGATGAGTTTTATCTCCCGGACCTTGACGATTTTTACCCAAACCTTTGCCTGAAAAAGCGACCACATTTCATGATAAGCAGGGATTTTATACAGAGATGGTAAGAACCTCGCAAAGTAAACAACGCAGTTATATCCGCCTCACTTTTCGCAAGTTTTAGTGTAACCGAATCCGCACATTTTCACAAACGTAATCTTTCAATACAGTGTTCAAATAAATGCCTTTATTGTTCGGAAATGCTCCAGTCTGGTAATACACAAGGATTAAAAACCAAACATTGTAGCTCCATATCATCCAGCCAGACAACCCTATTAAGTTCCCCATATCCCAAAGTTTGGCGATTTTAAGTAGAGACGAAGAGTAGCTTCACATGATATATGATCAGTTATTCATTGTGCATACCTTCCCACAGCATGAGTAAAAATCACTTCTAACTAATGTAACATGCAACGTTGTTCATGTGTAATTTTATCCCATTTAATATCGCATCATTGGGTCCAAGCCATACGTTGAGTTGTCTAGATTGACGACAACTAGTGGTATCCGCCAGGGATATTTTGCTGTTACCACTGCTGCTTAAATTCGTCATAGATATATAAATGAGCATAACTTGAGGCACTCCGTATATGAACACGATCGCAGTGAGCCCTGGTAAGTTTGCTCAAGTCACTTGCCTCGGACGTCAACTCCCATTCACACCTAGTCCAGGCTTGTGCCTTAAAAGGGAGTCTCAAGTTTAAAGGGCTTCTTCGGCCTGGCAAACTGAATACTACCATAAACCTTCACAGTGATTGTGGCTCATGGGGCTGATATATGCATGTGTTGAGTTGAATTGCACAAGAATTATCTTCAGCTACAGAAAGCTAACGATGTTTTTCATTTTTTGTAGGAAACTAAATTTGACATTCAATTATCTTAGTGAGAGAATCATTCCCATTCTCCGGCAAATGTTACATTACAATAGCGGAGATGCATAGATTCTACATCATAAGGAGGTCCTGAGCATTTTCGTCAACTTTTATCCCTCTTCATGTCATTTCTTTTTCCCCTCTGTCCTTTGCATTTCGCTTTGATTTATGGCAACTGGAAATCACGAACTTTTATGGGAGGTTGTACGTTCAGTCACAGATCGAATCTATCAACTTGAAATCTAACAGAAAAAGACTTTTTAACTGCATTTTTTCACATAGAAGGACAGATGTACTCAAATTATAGTAGAATTTTTAGGTGCTTCAGAAAGATCAACAGTCTTTAAATGGTACTCTCTGATTCTAAGCTAATTTTATAGCTTGTCTGTGCTAACAACAATAATAATATATTTGCTTTATTCCGAACCATAACTTTGTTTACAGTACAGTATTCTCAGTATGTGATGTTGTACTAGTTTACTCTTTGTACATTCTTCACATATATATTAAAAATGCTGTTCAACAAGTAACAAGTAAAAACAGGATTTTTGAAATGTTTAACGACTTCAGGGTTATGATAACTGTTCTCTACTACGAAGCTGATTGATATGACTACTTCTTACATGCTTTTCTCCACACAATAGACAAGTTAAATAAGGTAATGGTTGAATTTCTGTATGTGGTTTAATGTATTTGTTTCTTATCTTCCCTGGAGACATACATGGAGAGAGGTGCCACTGCAGATAATGCTTGCCATCAGACAAAATATTTGTAGCCATCAGTCTACAAGAGTTTAGATCCTTATCCACGACAGGATTTACCAGCAGGGTTAGTGGTGTACCACCACTTGCTCCAACAACAGTGTTTAAAATCATACGCAATACAGTGTAGTCTTTTTCCTGGAGCTCAGCAAAGATTAACAGGGAACAGTAAGTATAGACAAAGCACAGGGATTAACGAGACGCAAGAATAGAGGTTGAGTCATGTCAGCCAGTCTGTTTCCTCATATAAAAAGGCCAAGCAGAGGATTTCCCTGGAAGTCATTAAAATGAGAACCAAGAAAGAGAGGAAAAGCATAAGTCAAGACAAATAAACTCTACAACAGAGCCATCAATAAGGCAAGAGTCGTAGGACTACAGCAGCTCATATAAACCTTGTTCAACTCATGAACTGAAATTAGCGATCCGACATTTAGAAGCATTGAGTGTGAAGCCATTCAAGTAAGACCAGTGACCAAATTGATTTAGGAAGTTATTAAACTGAGGACAATCTAAAGAGACGACCCGCATGGATACTGTTAGGTCATCTGCGCAATTAAGCAAGCGTTAATTGAGGTAGGCAAGTCATGAAAGAAGAGAAGGAACAGCACCTTAAAGCACATCGGCCTCACTAAGTAGTGAAGTAGAATGCTTCTCTCTGTATGCAATGCACCGTTTTCACTCACCCGTCGGCAGCTTGAGTTGATTTAGGTGACCGCACAAACAGACAAACGTTTTGAAATCAGTGCTAAATAAGAGAAAACTACTATTACAAAGAAATTGCGAGGAACAACTACAAATACTAGCACATCAGTAAGGAATCATAAACACCCTTATCTGATACCTCATTAGAGACAGATAAAATCAACGCAGGCTCGCGCAGACGGGTGTGCCACACCGCTCCCAGCTGCCACGTTCTACAATAGTATGGAAAAGTGAATGGGGGAGATGAGATTTAGAAATCAAGGTTCGTCAAAACATAGAGGTCTTAGAAGATATACAAGAGCGAGTACATCTGCGTCACTGTGAATGATTTTAAGCTATATCACCAAAAGTCCTCAGCCACTGATTCCTTCCGTCTGAAGAGACCAAAGTTAAGTAGTCTACACAACCAAGACCATCACTCAGAAGCTCCGTGAACTGGTGCTACATCTTAGTCTGACCACACTGAACCCACCTGATGCAACTTCCTTCGCCCGACCCCAACACCGCCCACAGAGTGATTCCACTGAACACTTGCAACGATTAGAAGACATATATGACTAAAACACTGTGACCGCTTTATGTCTTCTACTTTGAACTCCCATTTCTCAGTCATAACACAGGACACAACAGACTGCAGCGCGGTATACTCGTCTTTTGATAGACAGACAGTCGGATGTCTCGCCAGCCGACGCCACAGATGATGCAAATTGGCAAGTGTCAGATGAGCCTTCTGCATCCGTCAATGGCCAACCCGTTCGGGCTGATGCAACTCTCCAAGTAAGTGGACAGGTCGACACATTTCACCACTTCACTCCCTATCATTAAATTGGGAGTGGTCGCATACCAGTCCTGAAGCATCGTCTTACATTTCACAAGTGCAAAGCGCACACCAGATATACTCATATTTTCGCTCAACGCGTTCAGAGGACCCTGCATTTTGTAAGCGTCTTCACCCAACAGGACAAAATCGTCTGCATGCTTCAAGTCAAACAGATGACCTACAGGAAGTGGGTCAATTCCTGTAAAGTCACACGTACCTAAGGTTATGTCCGTTAGTTTGTCTATGACAAGGTTAAATGGGAATGGTGACAGTGGACACAACTAGTTGTTGTCAATCCTGATGACTTCTCCATAAGCCCTTACACAGTTGTATAAGTTTGAGGCGAGAGCTTTGATTAGTGTTAGGTAACTGCTTAATACTTCACAGTCAGACCCTGCCACAACACCTCACGGTCGTTAGAGTCAAATACGGCCCTCAGGTCTAGAAATACGGCCGTAGTGAGTATTTGTGTGCTTGAGGACCTATTGGAGGGTGAAAACCTGATAGATGCATCTTTGTCCAGGTCTGAAACTTACTTCGAGTTTGCTGTTCTTGAGCTTCAGTTGGGCGTCGGATAACTATAAACCCAAAATTATTGGACAAAATACTAGTCTGACTAATTCCCTTAAGGTTGTCACAAGAAGATTTATCTTCTTTCTTATACACTGGAGTGATCATCTCATTACATGTACCTAAAGATTGCCCGTTAATATGCTTACAAGCAAACGTTTGGCTTTTGTTCGAAAATTTACTTGTGTTGGAACTCAAATCGACAAGCTCCTAGTTACTGAAAGTGGACAGGTAAGGACTACGAATAAGCACCGTTACAGCTTTTTGATTTTCGACACGTACTTGAGAGAACCATCCATGGAATCGAGTTGAATGAAGTGAATAGACTCGCTATAATGACTAAATGGAGTCAAGAAACTATTCGCATTTGGTCATTTGAGATCTCAGTTCCATTGGCAAAATTTATTCATTTTGATAGTGCTTAGAAATAGAAGTGAGGAGTGTGGTTTCGAAGGGTCAGGAATGTTCCGTTCGCACAAATGGTTAACAGTCGCAGAGTAAAAACTTGAGAGAATTTTATTTACTACATACTGTGGATTGAGGATGGATGAAGTTACAAGGATAAAAAGAACTGGTGAATGTCACAACAATTGTCTGTAGTAGGAAGTTTAGATACGATATTCCCTATCTACCAATACCGCATAAGTTGATCCCTTCTGTAAGTACTTGGAGAAGGTGGAACCTGCTAGATTTTGTTCTTCTCCTAAAGAAGATACGTGATAAGATGGGAGTGAAGTTTCATGGTCTAACCCTTAACATGATTGGAAATAGAGACCAACAAAAGGGAACACTGGAATTTCCAGTCAATATTTAGACTAGATATACAGTCCTTAACCCCATGCATTATCAAGGTAGTTATCCTTGGTTTCCAAACTATTTATCTGACCTTGGCATGGTAAAACCTAGAGAAACAACAGTCACAACCAGTATGAATTGGCTAAGCGAGTGACAGTCGATTCAAAACATCGTCAATGTAACAGTTCTAAAAAAACTGTTATGATATGAATACTACCCAACTTATACAGGTTCAAAGTGGAAGGATCATCGATCTGAAAGAGTAGTAAAGGTTAAAGTTAGGTGAACTCCAGAAAAAGTTCAGTAACGGCGATAATAAGCAAATAGCTTGATAAGGAGAAATTAGTTAACCTTGACTGCCGGTAAGATTTGTTATCTTGTGAAACTAAAAGTCAGATAAGAGTTCAAAATCATTGGTGTCACTGGAAAAGTGATAACTTAGAGATGCAAAAAGTATCCTCATTGCCATATTAACTATACTGTTAGTAATAGGT